GACGTCGTCTTCTGGTGGAATCGACCTTTGAATTTCTTCACCAAACACCTCCACTTAAAATGGAAGTAAGCACAATAATTATGAAATAAAAGATTCTTCGAAACCCAACTTTCATTTCCTAATGTTATCGTTTAACTTTTAGCATGTCCTTCTTGCGTACTATAGATCTTTGTTGTCTACCGTGTTAGAAGGGTCTATAAAGCTGAGTGAAGTCTTTATGATTACTTACTGCAACACAAGAGGTTGTAGAATATACCAGATCCAGATTGTGTCCGTGAGGCCAAGGCACCCCAGGCTTTCGACGACAGCGTGCAAGTTCCCTACAAAATAGGGAATGAAAATAGACTTTGATGAGAGATGACAAACTTGAATGTCATCGCCATCATTCTATAGGAGCAGAAAGGTCCTACGGGTTCAGTAACTGACACCAATTGCATGCTTGGCCGCACGATTCAGATTCTAGTCTTCAACATGTGTGTTGGATCGGTTAAGCTTCATATATTTGTTTGATCGCAAACTCGTAAAGACTGGCCATGGCTCACTCTAAAGTAGATTGGCAAAAACGAATGGAAATCTGTTTAAATCTAGGGCAGGAAAAAAAATGTCTTTCACAATTGAAGCACCTGAAGGCGATTGTGTATGTGAAATTTTTGCCTAAACTCTCCAAAGCCTGTAACTGACATGGCTAGCTATAAAAACTTCCTAATCTACTGCTTTTTAAAATGGATTTCTCACCATGGCATAGACGCTTGGCTCTGAGATAATGGAATGCTTTAAGATGGCAGACAAACAATAACTGCTGAACATATGAGAAATGTTAAAGAATCTTAGTCCTGGATCATTGAGAAGAAAGCCGTTTGAAGCATTGTGGGAAGTGCTCTCTTAATTTAATTTGACAAAAGTCAAAGAGACTCATGCTTTGGAGAACACGGTCAAACTGGATTTGAGATGGATCCTCCTCATTCGTACAATTTTTCGATGGAAGAAGCTTACTGTCATCCCGTCAATTAGCATAGGCTTAAAACCGGATACAGATTTTGAAGCACCATTTTCAGACAGTCACTTAGTTTATCTGGTCGTTTCGGGTGTGAAGGGACGGACAGATGAGACTCCCACAAGAGAATGAGTAGCAGCCTTCATGATTTCGTTAAATTTTACTTCAACTTTTCTCCCAAAATACTTTCTCATCCAGACAGGACGGTAGTTTTGACTTTCGTTGAGTTTCATCAGGCCTCCGAAAAGCTAAAAAACGATGCCCCTCATCCAAACCACTCGAGTCTCAGTTGGATATAAGGTATATAGAAATTGTAAGACAAGTCAGGCCTCTTCAAATTTGTACTTAATAAAAGTTTTATTGGGCTAGGCGATCTAGAGCGTGAATTGCCATCAAGCTTGATGATCTAACTGTAGACAAAGTGAGTAGACTGTAGATAGGAGATGTTCAACAAACAATTTTAATCATACGGAGAGATCTTTCGTGTCGATCTTGTTAGAGGTTGTCAGTTCTAATAGCATAAAGCACATCGAAAAGTGAGCAAGATTCAGATTTCATTTATAATGTTGAGCATAAGCATAAATAGAAAATCGACTTATACGCGAAAAGTAGCTGCCCTTTTGTATTCATTGTTTCTGGTTTCGAAAGGGCAAACTCATGCTAAGAATATATCAAATGCATCATAAGGGACCTATGCAGGTTTGAATGCAAACTCGTATTTACATTTAACTCGACGATATTACTATATATTAAATAAGTAAAAGTGGAAATTATTGGAAGATTTTTTTCTTGATTACTAATGTCTCTTGCCTTGTTACCCTCATACACTATTTCTGTGTAGTGGAGTGTGCTGGCGAGTTGCCGTCTGACCCGTAAGACCTAGTTTCAAATCCCACTTTATTACTGATGGGAACGAGATGATGCGCAAACTGGAGCTCAGTCCGGACGAGAAAGCCACCAAATAAACAAGGCCAAGTGATATTCAATGGCAGCGGGGGCCTTCTTGTCATTCCAAAATGGGCAACTCAAATAGAAGGTTTTACATCAACTCTAGCGATTTAAGTTAAACCTAGTGCTTAAATAAGATATTTTATAATTTCCAACCACTCTTAGTTCAACATGCTATGTGGTAATTTTCAGAAAAATTAGAGGTTGCATTGTTGCGGTTGGGACAGAGGAGACGATAGAGGTAAATCTTGCAACTCTGCAAGGAATGGCTATCGTCGCTATGGTTTTCTTGGCTTAACTTCGAATTTGTCATATTCGGGGTCGGCCACGTATTTCCCCATTTGGTAGTAAATCTATATTTGTCAATTTCACCCATCAATATCATCCATCCATTATATGGTTCGATTGTTTGCAGAAGCGCTCGACCTATACATCTAGAAAAGTTTTTAATCATCAATAAAAACACATAACTTTGCGAAATTTATCTGCCTCAAATTAAAGAAACTGAATGACAGATTATCAAACGCAATGAAGAAATGACACGAAATTTGACGCAGAATCAAAGGCACCAGTTTGGAGGAAAACTAACCTGTGGTGAGCTTTGAGGTATAGTTCATGTGCACCAACATCGGAGGAGAAAAAGCACTCACAGCACGACTAGGGATCAAATATTTGTGAAGTGGGATAGGAGTATAAAGAGTAGATAGATAGACAATGACAGAAAGAGGAGTT